AAGAGGAAAAGACCCATAAGAGCTAAAAGGTGACAGCCGCGGGCTACAGTTGGCTCTCACTGAGTCCTTTGTGGCCTGCAGAGGGTATAGGAAGGAGCCACGGCCAGGCCCCCTTGTGGAAGGGGGATGGAGCACACTCTCTCTCCTCTGAGCTTTAGCCCAGCACCTCTTTGTTCAGTGCCTTTCTCAAGGGTTGGACTGGGACCCAACCAGGGTAATTCTTTGCTCTGCCCAGCTCAGCTCTTGTTTCCAGGTTTGGTGCCCATCTTCACAGAGGGCTGCATGTTTCTTTAGGATTACTTGGGAGTCATACGTTTTGTCTTGAAAGAATGGGGGCTTTTGCTCTGTAATGAGCAGCACAGAAAGAAAAAGAGGGCAAAGGCTTTTGTTAACAAATATTTAGCTCCCAAAAGTGGAGTCACCATCATGGGGCTAACCAGACCTCACCTCCTTTCAAAGCACAGCGTTGACACTGTTTTTCCCTGGCCGTTCATTTCCTCCTATTGGCTAACTCCGCTCCTGTGCTTCTGGGTCATAATCCTTACGTAGAAGGTGGGGCCACTCCTGGTCAGCCCGGCCCCTTCCTCGAAGGGCACGGCCGGCTGCAGGAGACTGCCTTCGCTTTTGAAGATCAGCAACTCCGGGACTACGTTCCATCTATCTGACCAATAAATGCAGCTGCCGAAAAAGAAATGCGCATCTGCCTCCCCACAAACAAAAATGTCTGTAGAATGTGTCTGCGTTGGTGGGAGGGAGGGAGGAGTTTAAATGGTTTTGTGCCACCAGATTCTCTAAAACACAACTGGTCCAACAGTGACAGTGGCAACCCCGGGGACGCTCGCGGTGTGGGTCTCAGAATATATCCCCATGACTCCAGGGTGTCCCACAGGCTCCGTGGAGCGACTTTTCAGCTTAGTACAACCGAGAACAGCCACAGGGGAATAAATTCCTTTCTGTCCTAAAACAGTAGTCCACGGAGTAACAGTTGTGAGAAGTGGGAGGTGCTTTATCTCCTCAATGGTGGCAGAGTGCCTCTCCTGATGGACACATTTTCATTGATTCCAGAACACGCAAGTCCTGCTTGCTGCTCCTCTCCATCCCACCCTCCTGAGGCAGGGATGTTCTTGACTGTCAGACCTGCCAGCTAACCCAGCACAGCCTTGTCACCAGCACCCCAGCCTGGCCAGGTCTCTTGGCTGAGAGAAGCAAGAGCCACCAAGGCTAACATTTGAAAACCAGAGGGAGGGGAGAGAGCTCTGACTACTGAAGATTGACTGCACCTCATCACCACTCGCCTTCCAGACACGGCGCACTGTGGCCAAATAGCAGTGCCCCTCATCAGGCTGCCCTGAATGCCACCCACCAGTGACAGGGGGGGAGAGAGAGAGAGAGAGAGAGAGAGAGAGAGAGAGAGATCATTGTGGAGCAGGCTGCTCCGAAATGCCCAATGCTCCTGTACCCCTCTGGACATTAGGGTGTGGAGATCAGAACAAGGCGAATTTCAAACAGTCCTGAGTGCGTCTGATATGGATGGTCCTTCTGCCCTGCAGCTCCTCTGCTTCAAGTCTCCATCTCAATCTTGGCATCGGACAAACTGCGGTGGGAGTTTGCAGAAATGCTACGGAATGAACCTTGGCCAGAACTAAAACTGAGTCAAATGCAACAACAATAAAAAAACAACAACACTTAGGACCTGGTGGGCTTGCAGCCAAAGCCCTGGAACTTGGTATACGTGTATCAACAAACGCAGGAGTCGCCACAGCGACACAGCAGCGATTCTAGCAGAAATTTATAGCCCAGACTAGAGCGAGGCGCTGTTGCAAATGCAAAGCTTTGTTGTTGCTGTGTTTTGTTTTGTTTGGGGGGGGGGGAGAAAAGGAAAATAAAGAAAGAGAAAGCAACAGATTTAAACGCAATCCTAACATCTCGGAAATTCTACCGTGACTCGGGTGATCCCAATGGTCTTTGAACCTTGTCGGAAAGTGTCACAATAGATGTTCGAATTAAAATCCAGTAAGTTTGCCAGAAGACCGATTGTTTAAAATTGGCAGCATTCCAGACAACTTCCGAGGCTGCACACTGCCCGGGGCTGAGAGAACGGCTAATTCCAGAGCAAGTTCATTATCACCTTATTGATAAAGGGGTAATTTTTAAAGCTCATGGTGTGGGTTTTGTGACTTATTAATTAAAATTTAGAGTAATTTACTAGACACAGTAGTGGCTTCTGTTACATTATTTATGCACCATACCATTTGTGTTTTCTCCCAGGGGCTGTTTTTAATCCCCTGGTTTCTCCTCACCTGTCTGCCCTTGAAGGCAACAGAAATCATAAAAACAGGTAAAGCTCACACTAGCCTTTTGGGAAATCACAGAATTAAGAAGGTGTCCAAGGAGGCACTCAATCAAAACTCATTCCTAGACAAGTCAAATTTGCCCACGCAAATAAAGAAATGTGTGCTCACGGCAAATGGCCCGGCTTTCAGAAACCTCTTCTTCAAAATGCTGGGCTGAATTTTATGCTCTTTGATAAATAGATGGGGAGAGTCTGTCCTCGTCTTTTCTCCTTCTTTCCCATGGCATCCCTGAACAAAAGCAGGAGGCAGGGGAAAGAGGGGCGGCACGGGACAGAACTGGGGGCAGCCCCACGGGGCCAGTGTCGCCTCCTGCTCTCCTCAGGACGCGTGGATTGCGCTGAGCGCACCTGGGTGCCAGTGTGATGCTGAGGCTCCCAGGGTGCAGGCTGGGGTGAGCTCCTCCCGCGGAGCTCTGCCCGGGCCCCAGGGAGCGACTTCCCAGCTGCGGCCCCACCTCTGCCCGCACCCAGTGCTGGCTCTCCCAGGTCTTAAGAGGCAAGAATACAGAGGTATGATGTGTCCACCCGGCACGCAAACTGTAAAAGGACTTGCAAAACACTCTAACGTCTAACTCCCCGAATGTCCGGACAGGTCGCTTCTCTCGGAGCACCCCTCGTTTGGATTTAAGGGAACTTTAGTCATGTAGTTCTTGAACGTGTTGAAGAATTTGAGATCCAAAACGGAGACTAACCAAATAAAAGCCACCACTCCCTGCGAGCGTGGATGCAGTCTGATGTTCACATCACTTAAAAGTTTAAACATTTCCTACCCTTGCACTTTGAGGCATCGCTTCATCTGTATAGTGAACGTGCTATTTAACATGTTTAAAAGTCGTCATTTCTCGTTGGCCACAGCGGGCCTGCGGGTCTGCGGGTCTGCGGGTCTGACCTGCTGCGGGAGGGGGCCCCGGGCGCCAGGAACCAGAAAGTGAAACTGCACCTGCTGCTCGCCGCCTGGAAACACACCAGAAGCAGACAAGGCACGAAGGGGCGGAAAGCAGGCTCCTCTTGTTTTTCTCGTTGTTTTCCTTCCCCTTACCACACATCCATTTTTACTTACTTATTTATTTATTTTCACTTTTGGCAGCAAAAGGAAAGTAGTTTTGGTGGCACAGGGAAGAAATGTAAACATGCTAAACATCAAAGAACTGCGTTTTTGTGGGATTTGCCATTTTCTTCTAATTCCACAAATCAAGCAGATGGATAAATTCACCAAAATATCGGAGCCCCTCCACACACACAATCTAAAGAGCTAAAGAAAACACATTCCGGTTTTTTAAACGATGCCACAAATATGTTTAAAAAGTATTGATTTTGAAACAACCTAAACACTTCCCTGACGGTTCCATGCTAACCTTTTACTTGCGTTTGTTGGACCACTCCTGCTTTCCTAGGTCATCTCCGTCCAGCTCTTCCTCAAACACCCGCCTTATTTTCTTAGGCTGGTTCTCCAAGCAACACCCACCACAGGACTCCGCTTGACCGAGCTGTGGATTCCCTGACAGTTATTGTTAATGCTTCCACTCCAAATATTGTTTTATTTACAAAGAAAAGAGTCTTGGGGAAGAAAAGAACTATGTCTCTCTTTAAAAATGCTCCCTCTGGTTGCAAAGGAAGGAAAATAGAGTAGACAACCAACATCTCCATTCGGAAGCACCTGGATTCCTTTCTCAAGCCACAGAGGCTGAGCCCCACCAACAAGCCACCTTCTCAGAACGCGACTGACGGTAACCTCTTGAGGACGGACCCAGAACACAGCCCGCCTGGAGCCGCCCCTCGGTGACTGTTACAAGGAGCGGGGAGAACTCTGACCAGTCCCTCAAATATCGGTCCAGCGACTTCCACGAAGCTGGCACCTCGCCCTCTTCCCGGTCCCCTCCTGCTCAGCCCGAAACCTGGGAGGGAGCCTCGTGCCAGCAGGAGGGACATGTGGAATCGGGTTCAAGTCACACAACGTCCCCACCTGGGAAAGAGGTGACTCTGTGTATTTGAATTTGGGAAAACTGCTCCTGACCAGCCATAGTCACCTGTGTTTTCTTTTTCCCAAAAAACTAACCAGCACCAGCAACTAGCAATAAATAGTATTCTCATCTATCCTGGGAAATTCGGAAACACCAGCACAAAACCCGTAAAACATCCCATCTGGTATACAAAAAATAAAATTTAATTTAAAACACCACTCTCACCTCTTCACAACACACTGATTTTAAACATTAAATATTAGGTAAATATTTTTATCCCAAGACAAACTGAAATGTTTTTTATTAAAAAACAAAGCAAAAATCATCATTTCAAAAATAGCTAACCATTTATTTGAGTTCACATTTCGGGGGAAAGACAACTTTCTACATATTTAAATGCAGAGTTAAAGAGTAGTGAACATGTATATACCCTAAATTTATCAACTATATGATTCTATGCTCCGTCTTCCCCCCGAGATCTGATTGAGAAATCAAACATTGTATTTTGAGGAGAAGGCACTAAAGTTACCTGCCGCCCTCCGTGGTTTCAGTGCAGAACATTCATGCAGTGCCCGAGGGGGAGCACGCCACCCAGACCAGCTGAGCCAGGTAACCCGTCGTGCTGACGGCGGAAAGAGCAGAACCCCGTGTCCACGGCACACCCTCCGAGTGTGTGTCTCCCTTACCTACAGCGGGTTCACCAGAGCCCTGGTCAGGTTCTTTACCAGGCCGGGAAGGTTGACTCAGAAGGCAGAAGACTTTCGGTACATGCAAACCGGGTACTGCAAAAGCTAAGCGTCCACCCGGGTGTTAGTAGCTCACAGTTAGTCTCCAGCAGCCCTGCTCTCCGGCTGCACACATCTCATTAGACTAATGCATTCAGCACAGGCAGAAACTCGATTTACCATAGCTACAGCAATGAATTTCCATTACGATGACAGCTTCAACCACATCATGTCCGGAAAACCAGCCAACCGCTGGCTTTTAAAGAACACACACATTTTACATGCAGAGAACGCGAGGCATGCGTGTGTGTGTGTGTGTGTGTGTGTGTGTGTGTGTGTGTTTCATGTTTCCTTCCTCTCAGCAGCCCAACTAAGAGAAATGTGCAGTGTAGCTTTTTGCCGACATGAGCTGCAAGGTAATGACACTTCTGCTTCTCTGGTAGTTACGTCCTTGTAATAAACTGAATTATGTCACAATTGTCAGAAGGGGTGTTTCCAACATTTCGATTTTCATTACCCCTCCTCTGTTGCCATAGAAACCAGACTGTAACATCATCTCTTTGTCCCAGCCCTGCAGCAGTGTGGGCTAGCGCCGGGCTTACGAGATACTGGTGAGCGGAAGGAGTAAATATTTGACTTTAGACAAATAAAAGAAAAAGAAATATTCTCATGTCATCATTGTTCAGGAGAGGATGTGTGTGTGCAGAGGAGTGTGCACACAGAGGTAACACCCCGTAGTCAGACGTAGTAACTCTACAGCCGCATACAACACCTTTGTCACCTCATTGCAACAGCGCCTGGACCTGGGTTCCAGGTGTGTGTGTGTAAGTGCGGAAGTGTTTCCATACCATGAACAGGGTCAGGGCCTGCCTGGGCTGGAACAGTCCTGACATAGGAAAAGGGCTGCTATGTATCCCCCGTGCTCTATGGTATTGCTTGTAGCAAACCAACTTATCCTGGAAAAGTGACTTTTTCGCCTTTTTTTTTTAATAATAAAGTGGAGCATTGCCCATTTCATTCAATAACCATTCTGGACTATTGTTCCCAGGCATTTCCTACAAGAAGAAACATTCATCCAACAAACATGTGGCCACCCGGAGGTTTCCCCCTGGGGCTGAGCAACAAGCAAATTTAGCCAGGAGTCAACACCATGTAGGGCTAATTGAGGCTTAGGCCACAACTTGGACAGGTACCGAGAGTGAAAAAAAATAAAATCACAGCATGAGGCTTTTCTGAATCTATAGGCAGCGTCACATGAGAAAGAATAAGAAATCTCTCTCCACAAATTATGACCATAGGAAAAAAAATTAAATTTTTTTGAAGTCAAAGCACTGTATTTATTGAGCAAGAAGTAAATTCACTATTTAGTTCATTTAATTATCTAATTTTATTGTTTTGTTTTGTTTTGTGTGGGAAAAGGCAAGTTTGGTAGTTTTTCATTTTGGTCATTGAATATAAGTTGATTTCATTAAAGGAGGAGGAGAGAGAGGAGGGAGAGAATGAGGAGAAGGAAAGGAAACAGGACCCAATGGGTGATTTCAGTTTGGCCAACATCTCTCTCAGCCACAGTGGCTGTGTGCATGCAGGGGCCTCAAACACAACCCACACTCCGCTCCACACAGCACCTGGAGGCGTCTGAGATGCTAAGCCAGTCTACACTTTTAAAGGCTTCTTCAGATAAAAAAAAATAATAAATCTTCCTCAGATAATAAAAAATATTTCCCAAATCCTATAAAAGAAGAAGATGACTTGATAGAATCTGTCTGAAAGAAAGGAGTTTTTGGTTTTTCTCCCCATTTCGAGAATTTGTGATTCTGATTCTCAGTGTCGGAATGTCCTCACCTCCTCCCAGGTCTTTATTGTTGTGGTCTGTCCTTAAGTGGGTGTGGCTGGGATGCAGGCACTGGCATCACAAGTTAACCACAAAACGGGCCTGAAAACAGAAATTAACCAAAGCTGGTTTGCTTAAAAAATAGATGATAGGTAAATCGATATCAATTGATAGATGCCAAATGGATAGATATGCCTTAAGATATTAAATCCATGTTTTTAAAAATCCTAAATGTTTTTAATTCCAAGAAAAATTTTAAGTTAAACATGTAAGAGAAAAGAAATTTGGTGGAATGGCTGTATACATACTAAGGCAGTGGTTCTCAACCTTCTTAATGCCGCGACCCTTTAATACAGTTCCTCGTGTTGTAGTGACCCCCAACCATAAAATTATTTTCGTTGCTACTTCATAACTGTAATTTTGCTACTGTTATGAATCGTAATGTAAATATCTGATATGCAGGATGTATTTTCATTGTTACAAATTGAACATAATTAAAGCATAGTGATTAATCACAAAAACAATATGTAATTATATATGTGTTTTCCGATGGTCTTAGGCGACCCCTGTGAAAGGGTTGTTCGACCCCCAAAGGGGTCGTGACCCACAGGTTGAGAGCCGCTGCACTAAGGGGTCTGTTAAGAAGAAAAGGTGCCCTTCTGAGCTAATGTGTCTATCTCTGAGTCTTGTACATCCCTGGGCTCTGATCAGGATGCTTCCGTTGTGCCACATTGTTAATCTTCTTGTGCCCTGTGGTTACATCTCTGTCTCAGACAGGCTCTACTCTTTTCACACCAATGCCACTGGGTTGGTTGCTAGCAAAAGGTGCAGTGGGAGCAAGCAGGTTAATTTGAGGGTGTCCCAAACACAAACTCACTTAGAGGAGCCTCCACGGGAAGAGTAATACATTCTGTCAGCTGCTGGTAATGAGTTACGGTTGCAACCCAAGCATCAGGTGGAGAGGGCTGTGTCCTGGACAGGGGAGTCAGTGCTACTGCAAAAACAACCCTTGTTGTCATAACCCAGCTAACATTTCCTGGGGAACTACTATGTATACATCCTATTCATGTTGTCTCATGTACAACCACCCTATGATGTCAGTATTGTAGTACCATCTCCATTTTACAGATAAAGAAACTGAGACTCAGAGATATTAAATAAGTTGCCCAAGGTCACACAGCGCAGAAGTGTTGGGTACAGGATTGACCCAGGCAGCCCGTTCCCCGAGGCACAGTAATGAATCATATGGCTACATGGCTCCCTGGCACTGCCCCTGGTTCCAGCTCTGTCATTAACCCAATAACATTGGCCAAATCACCGTTCTTCCATAACAGGAGGGGGTGGGGTGGGGGACTAGATCATTTTTGTGGTCCCTTATGGCTCTAACATTCTAGAGTTTGATGAATTGTTTTACCTGCAGCTGGAACAAAGCAATGCTTGCCTTGGAGGAGAACCCAGCTGTGGTTGTGGCTATGGCCATGACTACTAACAGGCAAACAGCACCTCTCTGCCAATAGACTAAGACCTGGCAAACCAGTGCTTTGGGCGGTCAGGTTGTGATGGAGATTGGGGGAGAGAGCATGGAGAAAGAACAGGGAAGTTTTAAAGGCCAGGATTCCATTCCTGAAGCAGCAAAGGAGACCACTCCCCCACACGCATGCGGCCCCTGACTTTGCTTCCACATCAGTCAACACTAACTTTTCCTCAAGTGTTCCTGGAAGTTTGAGAAGTTTCGTGGTTATGGAAGGTCTGAGGCTTAGGGTCACCATTTTGCCAAAGGGGAACCTCATTATTCAGACTAGAGGGCAGAATGGAGTGATGAATGGCAGACCACTGGGCTCCCCCTACCTGCCACTTCTTCAGCTCAAAGCCCTAACTTTCATGGGGCCAGAGCTCGGTTTATGCAACCAGGGGTCTTTCTAAATTAAAACCAAGACTTTTCTTTGTAGTGAAAATAAACAGGAACAACCTTTCAACTTCCAATAAAAATATAAAAGAATATACATGAGCGGGGGGAGGGGGGTAGCAATGGGGGGATAAGGACACATATGTAATACCTTAATCAATAAAAATTAAAAAAAGAATACACAATATAACTACCAAAGAGGAAGTCATAGAAAACTATGAAACTAGGGGGGAAATGTTCTCAATATATACTTGCTTAAAAATTTGCAGGTTAGAAATCTTATTTTGAAAAAATATAATGATTTGTAAAATACTAGAAATATGACCCCTTGGTAATAGGACTATGAATAATTTTTATCTTCTTAATCTTTCTTTTTTATATTTCCTACAAAGGAGGACCTACTTTTTATGATAGATAATACAAAGTCACATGAATTAAATGATTGATTAGTAACAGAATTTTTCCTCTTCTGCAAACACATTTGTCTATAATTCTCATAAATCTTAAGTCTTAAATTTATTTGTCATCAATGAAGTAAAAATAAAACCTTTGTCCAGTGGTTGTAGGCTACCTTCAGCCACAGCCTTAGCCAATGTTTCAAGAGCGAAGACTGTCCCCTACTCACTCAAGTCATCCTGTTGCCCTCCACGCTGGGGTTCCCCAATCATTTAGTACCTTTGAGCCCATGCAGGGTGCTCGGCGGAGCCAAAGCAAAATCAAGGCAGACTCCCTGTCCTTCCCCACCGAAGGGCTCCCACAGTCTGTGAGGTCCTCTCAGAGCTGATAACAGTCTTGTTTTAAGACATAGGTTATTGGGGGAGGGGAGAGTGATTAAATGAAGTGAAAATCACTCCTGTCCAAAGAAAGGATGACTTATTCAAGTTCTCGTGGGCCTAAACCATGGCTCCTCTCAGATGGGGCCTCTTCTCTTTGTGGCTCTGGGCCTGTGGTCCTGGCTGAGATTCAGGGATTGGCTTAGTGGACATATTTGTGTCAAGGTCTGGCAGTTTTAGTGGTAGCAAGCCCAGAGACCCTCAGCCCAGGGCAGTGTCTGGTAACAGGGTTGAAAGGGTCAGGGCATGTGCTGACAGCCAGGACAGCTGAGGGGGACAACAGGAGGGACGTTTTCTTTGGTCACTCAGGTGTAAACTCCAAGATGGCTAGGTGCTCCCCACTGTATTCCCAGCATGTAGCTCAGCGTCTGCTCTGTGATAGGAAATCAACAAATAATTATTGATGAATGAATAGAAGAAACTAGGGGTTAAAGAAGGTGACCAATAAATATTAGTATAGATTTTTAGACTTGATTCCTTCCCCCCTCCCAAAAAAGTGATTGACTTTATATATGTTTGTCATCAGAAAAAAAAATCTTAATTTGTAAAAATTGAAAAGATGTTTTCTATTTCCTATCTCTCTCCTCTGTTATGTTCTTAAAATGTCAACTCCTTAGGATCGTTTCTGCTTGAGCCATGT